AAGTTGTACTCGGGGGGGGGGGGGGGGGGGGGCTCCAGTGCGCCCGTTTCAGGAACTAGATGTGAGCCACGTCAGAGCTGAGCTTCAGACGACAAGATAAGGAGTCTTGTTTCCTGACAACTCCACAGCAGCTTGATTCTACCCGAATCTGCTTGATTTCCAACGTAGATGTTTTATCTCCACAAATAACAAGCCTGGAGGAGTTCTGCTGTGTGGTGGAGTTGCTAATGCTAACAGTTAGCTTCTACTAGTTGAGACGTTCTCCACTGTGTCCTGGATGCTAAACCAACAGCAGCCTTCCCCGTCACGAGTCAAGATGGGTGAGTCCATGAATGTTAAGTGATGGTGTGTCCGTAGATCTGTCAGGATGTACTAATCCCAGAGTTTCACCATCGATTTTCTATCAGAAGCTAATGCAAGAGATGGGTGTAGGAGACTATTTTCATGTTCAGCCTGCATGAAAAACTCAAGAGGGACTGATTAAAAATGGTTCATCCTCGAAGTTTAAATTAGTAATTATTAATTTTTGGTGCATTCTATCTCAAATAAAGAGAAAATGCATTCAGATGCATTGGTTAAATAATGCGTGTCAGTATATAAATGCACTATAACACCACTGGTAAAAGAGGAGACCATAAACTGTAAAAACTATTCCTCTAAATGTTGAGACACCTGCTTTGAACTGGTTTTTGAGATTTCCTTTACATAAGTAGTAAAAACACGTACTCCCCTCAGAACCAAAATGCATTTTTTTTGCGTACCTTCATAGAAGCGGATCTTGTCCTGAGTATGACCATGCCTTTGGTGAGCAGCTGGTTCTGGAGGTACTCTGTAAAAAATGAGCCCAGCTCTGTTTTCAGCAGCTGCCTGTAAAACACACACACACACACACACACACACACACACACACACACACACACACACACACACACACACACACACACACACACACACACACACACACACACACACACGACACACACACACACACACACACACGTACGCATGAAAGGACACACACGCATCAGTGGAGATGTCTTGTTAACTGCAGCATAGAGAGATTGCATCTGCAAACAGTGATGTTTAAACAGCAGCAGGTTCAGGAAATGAGTCTGAGAACATTTAAAAAACAGCAGTTTAATCCTTCAGCTGCACACACACAATGACTGGAACAGCTGAGTGTTTGCAGACAGCCCATCCTACCTGCATTTATGCGCAGGTCAAGGAGAACATTTGCACTAACTCATGTTGAAGTGAGCATATTTATCTGCTGTAATATTTGCACCAGCCTGGTGCCACCAGGCCTGCCTCAACTGTTCTCAGCTCCACAGAAATTAAACACACAGCAGTGACCCCTCTCTGACCTGTCGTTTCAGGTTAGGGTTGCTAACATTACAACACACTAAAGAACTAAAGTTACAGATGGGAAAAACTGCCAAATGTACTCTAAAGCTAACCTGACACCTTCGTTCAGAGTGTAAAGCTCATTTTCTCCCAGGTCCTTCCTCTGGAAAACTGAAATCACTGCATTGTAGATGCTGCAAAAGAACCACAAAAACTGACTTTAGACAAATAAAAATACTATCATCTCCACCTCTATGTAAATGCATGTCATTTCTGTTTTTCAAGTTAACATAAAAAATAAAATAAAAATACAGGAGGCATACATTTATCTATTTTTGTCTAGTGAATGTTTTCTATTTCAACATCACGCTTCCAGGAAACAGGTAAGAAACTATGAGACAGACTGACATGAAAGGAGAAGGAGGAGGAGGAGGAGGAGGAGGAGGAAGAGGAGGAGGAGAGAGTAGGGATGGAGCACGAAGGATGAATTTAAACTTTTATACAAATTTTCATAATTTTAAATAATATTCTTCAGCCAGTATGTGCTTAAACGACACCAATCTCTGCGGCCAGAATATCGCACTTGCAACTACAGAGTGGCGGGCTGCTCCCTGTTGACTTAGTAAGGTGGAGCAAACATGGTGGCGCTGGAGTCTGCTTCCAGCACGTTTTAGAGCATGAACACAGCTGATTTGTTTGATTTAATTATGAACCTCTCTTGTAGAAGCTAATGAAGGCCGAGGAGACATGTCAGCCTTTAGATCAAGGTGTTAAAAAGAAGAACGCACAGATAAGTTTCACTTTTGGTTTCACTAACGGAACACTAGAGGGAGCTAAAAGCGAGCTGAAGCTGCCTAGTATCCCTTTAAGTGTGTTGGCCTTCAGCAGAATGGTAAACCAGTTAAAAAAAATTTTTTTTAGAAAAATAAATGCAAATAACAGAATAAGAACACACTCAGAACAACTGAAAACAAGCTCACGACTCTCCAAAGTTCTGACCTGTTCCAGGTGGCGTTAGCACCGGCTCTTCTCTGCTGGGTCCCTTTGTCCCGGCTTACCTCCTCCGCCAGCCCTCCAGCTGCTCCTCCCTTCTCTCCTCCTCCCCCTGTGTGACTTTTCACCTGCGTGAGGTCAGTCAGGCTGGAGGACGAGCTGGTGCCTAACCTCAGTCTGCTGTGAAGGCTCCTTGAAATCCAACGAGAAGAAAAAGGACACAGAAAATGCTTCGCTGCAAGCAGAAAGAACGTAATGATGTCCGACAGGTTCAGAAATGTGGCTGCTAAGACAACACATTTAAACATTAATATAGACTAATGTTGTGAAGTGTAATAAAACATGTTGATATGCAGATCATCTGAAATGACTGTAAATGTATTAGTTAGATGCTTTTTATTTCACTTCAGCAGCTGAGAAAAAAACAAACCTGAATTTTTGTTTTTTAACAAAACATGTTTTAATTCCTTTTTAATTTCAAGACATTTAAATTTTAAGGTAAATTCCAGAAAGCTAATATTGATTTTTTATAGTTTGTAGAGAACAAATATTAATTATCTTGGTCAATGCCAGATCAGAATACTGTTATCAGACCGTTTAAACTAGAAGCAGATGAGCAGAAAAACACATCAAGAAACTGTCATGTCTGGTGTTATTTTATAAAACTCCAAACATCCTTGAAGTTTTGATTTTTTACACAAAAGATCGATAAACACAAAGTAAACTGAGAGACAGAGAATAAGAAACATTAAAAAAAAAAGATTATGAAACTGAAATTTAACATTTAATATTTCACAGTAAAGTCATTTCCTCTCTACGGATAAAAAGGGCTTACTCTAAAGCGTGAAGGGGTAACACATCCCTGCTGCATCGCTGATCTCAACTAAACACCCCCTCTGCCAAACCTCTTCCTTACTTTTATATTTAAATCCTCCTAACTTTGCACTTCTCCTCCCTCTGCAGCTCTCTCTGACCCTCTTTGCCACACTGTGCCAGCTGGCCACCATGTTGGCCACCATGTGACCAAGAGTGCTTTTGTGCCAGGGCAACAAAGGAACGCTTTGAGGTTCAAGCGCTGCCAAGAGGGAGGGGGAAGAGTTTAAAGGTGTCATGCATTTCACTCCATCTTCCTCTCTGTGTCTCCGTGTCACGTCCAGAAGGAACAGAAGCTGTTTACGGAGGTTACTGATCAGCTGTGGTGAGAACGGACATCAGAGGAATTAGAAAAGTGGAAAGAGGAAGAAAGACAGGGGAAAAAGTTTAAAGCAGTTTCAGAGTTGTTCCGCTGAAGGTAAAAGCGATTTTCTCATGATGAACGGATGACTGAGTAATAAAACTGCGTAGACAGGTCAGAGATGTCGTCTAGTCTTACATTAGAAAGAGATCAGATGTGTGCAGGAAGTTAAACACTTGAAGGCTTGCCCCTACTGAACAGGAAGGCTGCAGTCCAACCATTAAACAAAGGAGGATGAGTGAAAGCATGAATGATGTCATTCAGGAATGCACGGCCATGAATGTGTGTGTTTTTCAGTTTGATCCACTTTTGTGAGCCCAAGAGCCTAAAGAGCCGAGCAACATGAGAAAAGGAGTGTTGGAGCTGAAGTGCACTGATTGTGTGCATGTGAGTGTGTGTGTGTGTGTGTGTGTGTGTGTGTGTGTGTGTGTGTGCGCGCATGTGTGTGTTCTTACCTCCTAAATGAACCCTCTCTGTCCATGCTAGCCCCGACAGATGGCTAACAACCGCTGTGTGACTGTAACCAGCGAAGCAGCATCTAAAGACGACATTAAGCTAGATTTAGAAGGAGGGACGGTGTGCATGTGTGACCTCAAAGTCAGTGTGACAATATATCAAATATTTTGATCACCAGGAAATATCAGTGGTACATGATGGAACTATAATTGTTTTAATGATAAAGAAACATTTCCCGAACCCTAACTGAAACTGTTGCAGCAACAGGAAGCAGTTCTCGGACAGATGAGGTAAACCTACTGACCATCTGAGACGCACGTCTGGATAACTAGACACAGTGTTCTAATCAAATTACAGGAAAGTAGCTGAGACGGACATTTGATCCGACCACAAACTCAAATGCCCCCTGTTCATTCCTGCCCACACACACACACACACACACACACACACACACACACACACACACACACACACACACACACACACACACACACACACACACACACAGATTGAGTGACACACACTTTAGGCAAATCAAACCAGGTAAAGTAGAGGTTTTTTCAAGAGCTACGCGCAATCCAAATCAACAAGCTAGGGTCTTTGTATTGCCTTAAAGCCCTTCTGTGCGTGTGCGTGTGTTTGTGGAGGTGTGTGAGTGTGTGCATCCTCGTGTGAGCGTGCATGCTCGTGTGTGTGTGTGTGCATGTGTTGCACAGTGGGAAATTGTTGTATTTCAGTAGTTTAAGTTGCATGATTTTGTTCTGGACCAGCATTAATACGAAATGCTAGGGAGAGCAGAACTGTCATCCTTCACAGTCGACACAGCAGGTGTACTCCCGTCCTTCAAAACTGACAAGGACTGTCAAATGTAAACAGAAATCATGCAAAAATGAACAAAATCATGCAACTTAAACTACTAAACTCAGAGAATTTCACAATGTGCAACATGTGCATGTGTGTGCGTACATGTTCGTGTGTGTGTGTGTGTGTGTGTGTGTGTGTGAGCCGATTCAACGTTTCAGTTGTGGCTTTAGCCTTCAGGTTGCAGAGCGTGCATGCAGGCAGAGCTGTCACACTCAGACCTTTAGGATATGTGTGTGTGTGTGTGTGTGTGTGTGTGTGTGTGTGTGTGTGCGTGTGCGTGTGTGTGTGTGTGTGTGTGTGTGTGTGTGTGCGTGTGTGTGTGTGTGTGTGTGCGTGTGTGTGTGTGTGCGTGTGTGTGTGTGTGTGTGTGCGTGTGTGTGTGTGCGTGTGTGTGTGTGTGTGTGTGTGTGTGCGTGTGTGTGTGTGTGTGTGTGGGGGGGGGGGGGGGGGGTCTGTTTTTACAGTGTCATTCAGGGTTATTTAAGTCTGTTGTGTGTTTGTCCTGCAGAGCAGCAAAAACTATCCACTGGTCCAGAAGACTGTGTCACTGTGCTTGTTACATCATGAATCTGCAGCTGAGGCACTTTGGTAAAAACAAATGTTCCAGAGAAACTTGAGGTGAGATCGTGAGCCTAAAGCTGCTGTTTTATACCCAGAACTAACCGTACATTAAAAAAACAAAACAACAATCTTGTTAAAAAGCAGTCATTTCTGTCCACAGTCACCAGCCATCCTTTGTATTCAACTAGCTTTACATGAGAACCTGGTTTTATTTATCTGGGCTTGTTGCTTATTGTTTACTGATTATTATTGCTATGAAGTGGCGCTATAGTAAATTGAGATAGTGAATATTACAATCACAGCCACTTTAGAAGAATTTTCTTGATCATCATCTATTTCGTTGCACACTTTGGGCTCTTAAGTACCAATGCGCATCATCAAAGCTCCAGAGCTTATTGTTGCTACTGAGCCTAGCCAAGTCCATCCCTTATATGAAATGAAAGCAGATACAATGAAGTAGAAATAGTAATTAATAAAGTAAATATTGAAAGAGTATATGAAATAAAATTTCTTGGAGTGATCATAGACAGCAGAATCTGTTGGAAGCCGCACATTAAATATGTTAGGGGGAAGCTTGCACGTGGCATTGCTATAATGGGGAAAACAAGTATATGTTTAATCAGAAAGCACTTTACATATTATACAATACGATGCTACTGCCATATTTGAGTTATTGTGTAGAGGTCTGGGAAAATACGTACAAAAGTAGTGTACATATTAATATCAATCGCAGGATATTGGGATCACACAAATGATCTTTTTTTTTTAAAAAATACTACTAGTGCTACTACTAGTTTACCCGTATAATTATAGATTCACTACGATAAATACAACAAAGTTTATCTCTCGCCAAATATAATATTTACTAAGAAATCACAATGTAACCATAGACACATTGCTTGGTGTGTGTGTGTGTGTGTGTGTGTGTGTGTGTGTGTGTGTGTGTGTGTGTGCTCTGTCTTCTTATACTGAGCCAGGATCCTCTGGAGGTTTCTTCCTGTTAAAGGAGAATTTTCCTCTCCACTGTCGCTAAATGCTTGCTTGGTATGAGGACTGCTGTAAAGTCACTGACATAGGAAACATTTTTTTTCTGATTGGCTAAATGAATTGACCTGGATTGGAATGTTTACTATGTGAAGTGCTTTGAGACGACTCTTGTCGTGATTTGGCGCTTTATAAATAAACTTGAATTGAATTGAATTAAAACACAGTCAATGAAGGTCCAGGACTTATATAAAACAGCAGAAATTATATAAAAGGTAAGAAATAAATTAATACCTGATACAAAACAGAAAGAGGAGGAGGACATAACTTATAAGGAAAGCTCAATTTAAAGATACATAATGTTAGAACAACATTAAAAAGTATGTGTACCACAATCATAGAGGTTAAATAATGAAACAGCTTAGAAAAAGAAATTAAAGCAAGTAAAAATATAAACATGTTTAAACATAAATATAAAAAGCATATTCTAAATAAGTGTAGAGAGGAAAATAGATGATTCATTTTGTTTTTATTCTAAAGAAAGATACATTTGGTTCATGAATTGTTTAAAGATATGTTTTTTTTGTTTGTTTGTTGTGTCCTGTATGGTTTGGTCGTCTGAGTGATCTGTATTAGTTTGTAGTTTTGATGTGGCTTGTGTTAAGTTTGGTATAATAAGTAAAGGATGATATGTATAAGAGGGGTAGAGACACATAAATTAAATTATGTATGTTTTCTTTGTTTGTTGGAAATAAACTACTACTACTATATACCACAGTGGACTCATCTTCTGATGGTCACTTCAAGAAGGAAAATGGTTACAAAGCTCGAAAAATATCAAACAGTTTTTTTTAACACAGCACCAAGTTCCTTGGACTCAAACGGCCTCAAGTCTCAAGTTGGGATGCGGTAGAACAGCAGATTCTCATCATGGATGCAGTTACGACACTATCGTGTCAATAGGGATCAGGACCTCTGATGAATGCTTCTAACATTGTGATGAATCTATGCCACGAAGAACTTAAGGCAGTTCTGGAGGTAAATATGTGTCCAACCTGGGAACAGCAAGGTGAACCCAACCCATGACAGTGGTCCAAGCATCTCTCCTACTGACACACACCGTGGTTTACCAGCTTGCTAAAGGGCACAGAGGTTATGTTGACATCTCTACTCTTGTGGTTAAGGGAGATGGAGGGTGCTTGTCCAGATCTCCATGAATATTTCAGTAAGTTAAACCAGTAACTCATTTAAAGCCTGTTTAGAAACACACCAGCAGGCAGATGTCAGAATCACTGCTGAAAACGAACACCCATAAACTCTCTCACACACACGCGCGCACACGCACACACACACAACAGAGAAATTATAACCCTGCAGCAGACAAGTGCTAAAATAAATGTCTACCAGCAGCGTTGGCAGGAGCCACAGCTAGAGGACCTGCTGTAGGACTGACAGCAACCGTGGGAGACATGGTGGGCTTTAACAGCTTCACACGTGACGCTAGAAGATGAGCCAATGGTGGCAAAGACATGAAGGACGTTAACGTTTCCAACACATCATTTAAGTTTTGACTCACTTCTTGGTCGCCTCTTCGCTCACTTTCACAGCAGGTGTACTCCCGAGTGTTACCGTCACAAGGCTCACAAGTGTTTCTGTCAGGGTTACGAGCTTCTTCGCGGTGAGGAAGTTGCGCACGGAAGGTTCGTCGCGTGAGCTCCAGCGCTGTGCTGTCCGCGCGCAGGAGGGAGGAAGTGAGCAGCGTGAAACCGAGAGGCTGTGTGTGTGTGTGTGTGTGTGTGTGTGTGTGTGTGTGTGTGTGTGTGTGTGTGTGTGTGTGTGTGTGTGACATGAGAGAGAGAGATGTGTGTGTGACATGAGAGAGAGAGAGAGAGAGAGAGAGAGAGAGAGAGAGAGAGAGAGAGAGAGAGAGAGAGAGAAGCAATAGTTAGTGTCACCTGCATGGCCAAACAAGTATTGTTTGAAGGTGCAGCATGTAGGATTGAAGTAAGAAGGACGTCCTGTGGTCAAATTTTGTTACTGCGGGCAAAAAGTTACCAACTCACCTGAGTTTCAAAGTTGTTGCCAGTTAGGGATCAGCGCCAGACGACTAGCGAAACCAAGTCATACACAGTAAGTTTATAAATAAATACATTGTCATATCTGGTGTTTGGCACTCTTGAGTGTTTTACGGCAGGGAGCACTTACAACACTTATTACAGTAATATGTGCAGAGACCCTCCTGCATCTTATCAATACAATGACTCTCACACAATAGAGGCTAATGACTCATCGAGGGTTATTCACAAGTAGTTTCAGCTCTTTGAGCAACAATAGTTGCTACAGTTTATAAGCTTGACCCTCCCATATTCCAGTCAGAATTGACAAAGCTCCTCAGATGAGAAGCAAAACATCTTCAAGAAACCAAAGAAGTCCAGTTGCCTTCATTCAAACCCCTTAGGGTTACCATGTCCTGGATGGCTGAGAATCTTCACTAGCATATGTCCACAGAAGACAGAGAGGAAGTGGTTGTTTGACAACTTGCTGTTATAGTTCTGAAATGGCTCAATAAAGGAAGTAAAACGCCATGACTGACTTAATATCCTTTTCATGCATACGTTTCACTGGGAAAATAAAACACGCCCCTCTTTATAAAGTCACTCAATGAGGGTTTTATTCATGTACAGCTTCTTTAGCCCACCAGTATTTATTAATGTTGTGGTCTAATACAGAAAAAAGAATGGTAGCTTCAAGGCCCACATCCTCACACCCCCCACCACCACGCTTTACAATTCAAGTGTTTACGATCATCTTGTCTTCAAATGAAGCTGCAGAAATTAAAACAAGTTTAGTTTGTTTTATAAATAGGTTTCAAAAACCAGAAATGAAAACCTTTTGGGTGATCAAAGACATGCTTTTATAAGACGATCCATTCTTTTATCATTTTGGAGACTGGTGCAGCAGCAGTCAGCAAAAAAGGAAATACTTCAACCTTTGAAGCAAACGTGAAAGCACAAGATGATGATATGATGTTATAAAGCATCCATAGATTCTGCAGTTAGGATCATGTGTATGTCACTTCTTAAGTGCATTCAGTTTAATTCTGACAAAGCTGCTTGGTGAGAAAATGACCGGGGTTGTGAGGAGGGACTTTTTGGGCTGGTGCGACTGAAACCACTTACAGTGTTCAGCAACCATACAAGGACCAGTGGTGGAGCTGGTTTCAATGTGATAGGTGAAGATGCTGAAGCTGTTTCTCATTCTTCTAAAACTAAGTTTTAAAAGTCAGACACCTGAAGAATGACCTCGAACCAGATTCTTATTCATTAACTTTCTTCCTAGAGGAATTTGCCAAAGTCCTGTAAACATTAACTTTCTTTACGAGCCTCTGTAACACATCTGCAGATTTGAATCGTGCAAAGAAAAGGTCTTACATTATGTCGCGTTGAAAGTCCAGACATGTTCACCAGCCCTCATCTCAAACTTCCTATAAATAAATAAATAAATAAATAAATAAATAAATAAATAAATCAGTAGAACAGTGTGGCTTAGAATATGAAGGAAATACCTTTTATAAACCAGGTTATGTTTAACCTAGTTCAGCAGAAAGCTTGACCCAGATTTCACTTCTACACGAGAGTCTGCTTTATTCACCACAAACTACCAATACACTAAAAACAAGGCTAAATGACCTCTGTGGGAGTTTTCATAAGGTGTCGTGACTTCAGAGCTGACTTCCACCGCAGTAATCAGCTCGGTCTGGTGCACACTGAAAAAAATTAAGTGCAAACAGGGGCTGTGAACGAGCCGTTTCTCCCCTCCCTGAAAACACTGATCAGGTGGTCTAGGTGGGCTGTCTTCTCACCTGAAGCAAAGCTTAAAAAGCAACTGCAAGCACTTTCAAACAAACTTGAATCTGCACCGAAGGGCCTTGGGTTTCTGTTAGTGCCTGTTTTTGTCTTCTTAAACTTTTGCTTTGCACTATCTTCCATCTCCCTCTTCACCACTATCTTCGATCTGTCGTGGTGAAGAGGGAGCTGAGCCAGAAAGCCAGGCTCTCGATTTACCGGTCGATCTACGTCCCAATCCTCACCTATGGTCATGAGCTTTGGGTGATGACCGAAAGAACAAGATCGCGGATACAAGCGGCCGAAATGAGTTTCCTCCGTAGGGTGGCCGGGCTCAGCCTTAGCGATAGGGTGAGGAGCTCGGACATTCGGGAGGGACTCTGAGTAGAACCGCTGCTCCTCCGGATCGAAAGGAGTCAGTTGAGGTGGTTTGGGCATCTGGTCAGGATGCCTCCTGGACGCCTCCCGCGGAGGTGTTTCAGGCATATCCTGCCGGCAGGAGGCCCCCGGGTCGACCCAGGACATGTTGGAGAGGTTACATCTCCAATCTGCTCCGGGAACACCTTGGGGTCCTGCCGGAGGAGCTGGTGGAGGTGGCCGGGGAGAGGACGGTCTGGAGCTCCCTAGTTGGGATGCTGCCCCCGTGACCCGGACTCGGATAAGCGGAGGAAGATGACGACGACTATCGTCCATTGGGAAAGAGAAGGAAACTCATCTGTAGGTAATCCTGTTGTCTAGTAGCTCCGGTGTGGGCCAACTGAAAACAATAAGTGCAGTCAGGGGCTGTGAACGAGCCGTTTCTCCCCTCCCTGAAAACACTCATCAGGTGATCTAGGTCTCAACCATTGCAATCAGCTGCTGCATGAACACCTGTTTCCAACTAGTTGCACAGCATAAGTTTGGTGGCATAACTGAAGCGTCAGCCCTTGTGTCTCAGCCCCTCCGATGTGAAGACACTCCGGGCTAAAGGCATACGTGTCTACCTGCGCGTGTCCACAGAGCAGGTACACAGAGAAAACAAGCTCGACCCAGACACTGTTCCATCGACACCTTGCAAAATGTGCCATTACCTGTGATCACTGGCTTCAGAGGAAGGTCACACACAGCAAACCGCTTTCGCAACTTTCAAAACCTCCGCTCGCTAAAACCAACTCCCCCTCCCGAAGACACCCACCTGTCTATGGGACTTTGGAACTGCCAATCAGCTGTAAACAAAGCAGACTTCATTACCGCATATGCAAACCACCTGTCACTTGATGCACTGGCTCTCACTGAGACCTGGATCAAACCATGTGACAATGCTATTCCATCTGCTCTCTCAATTAACCACACTTTCTCCCACACTTCTCGTGCATCTGGCCGAGGTGGTGGAACGGGCATGTTAATTTCCAACAAATGGATAAACAGTCACTAAATACAACTCCTTTGAATACCATGCCATCCAGGTAACTGTAACGAAAAACGTCATCACATCATGCGGACAAAGAGCTTTCTCTGTTGCGGGTCCTAAACTGTGGAACGAACTTCCAGCCACAGTTCGACTGGCATCTACCTTGGCAGATTTTAAGTCTAGACTAAAGACACATTATTTTACCCTTGCTTTTAATAGTTAGCTGTTAGTTTGGCTTTTACTACTCGTATTTTATCATCCATTGTAAGGTTTTATTGGTACTTTTTTATCGGCTTGTCTTTTTTATTGTTGGCTGTATTTTATAGTACTGTTTTATGTTTTTTATCTCTATTATTGTGCGACTGTTCAGCACTTTGGTCAGCCGTATGGCTGTGTTTTTAAAGTGCTATATAAATAAAGGTGGTATGGTATGGTACATTCTTTTTGATTGTCATATATCGCCAACCAGGTCAACTCGTAGACTTTCTTGATGAACTCAACACCTTGCTCTCCTCCATTCCTGAGCACGACTGTCCGACAATGGTCCTTGGAGAAATGAATATTCACCTGGACAGTCCCAGCTCATCAGGCTTCCTGTCGCTAATGTCATCATTTGATCTAAAACTAGTACAAAGTCCTCCAACTCACAAAGCTGGAAAAGCACTTGACCTCATTTTCACCAGAAACTGTGCCATAGACACAATCTCTGTCACACCGCTGCATCTTTCCGATCATTACTTCATCCATTTCAGCACGACTCTACAAGGGAGGTCCACTGCTTCCTAATTCCATGCTGTCGTTCTTGCTTGTCGTTCTTAGGGAACCTAAGCAAAGAACCAGAAACCCAGAAAGACAAGAACCAAAACCAGTGATAACCCTACCATACAGCAGAGGCATAACAGAAAAAATAAGAGCAACAATGAAAAAACACAACATAAACACACCAACAAAACCATACACAACAGTTAGAAACAGACTAGAGCACCCAAAAGACAAAATATCAGCTGGACTTAAATGTGGAATCATTTACAAAATCCCATGCAAACTTTGCAATAAAACATACATAGGAGAAACCGGACGCCAACTCAACACACGAACAGTAGAACATAGAAAGGAGTGCGAGAAAGAGGCAAGTTGAAAACACACAAGAGCAGCAAAACAAGAAACAGAAAGTACAATAAAGAAGTCAGCCGTAACAGATCATTGCACAAGAGGAAACCATATAATGGACTGGGACAACACAAGGATCATAAACACCGAACAACAAAAATGCAAAGGATGGATAAAAGAAGCAATAGAGATAAGGAGACGTGGATGTGGGACCATGAACAGAGACGATGGAGTTTACACGTTGGACCACGCCTGGGACTGCATCATCAGAGAGGGGAGAGCAGGCAGCAGAGGGCGACAACGTCCTCTGCTGCCTGCGGATAAACAGAGAAGGAAGTGACGCGCCACCATCAGCGTCAGCCTGAAGAAGTCTGCAGCCACAGACGAAACGTAGCGGGAAAACAGGTAACGAAACTGTTTGTGTTTTAAAAAAAGAATGACAGCATGGAACCACGACACAGCAAGAACACACCTAGGACCACTGCTTCCTCCCCAATGGTCTCATTCCACTGCAACCTCCGCAATCTGGCACCCAACCACTTCTCTCTTGTTGCTTCCACTCTTCCATCTCCCAGCACATTCTCTGCTTATGAAGTGAATAATGCCACCGAGTCACTCTGCTCCACACTCTGCTCTTGTCTTAACAACTTGTGCCCTTTAGCCACTAGACCAGCTAGATCCTCTCAGTCGCACCCTTGGCTAAATGATACCCTCCGGTCTCTACGCACCAATCTTAGTGCTGCGGAACGGAAATGGTGCAAAACAAAAGATCCTGGTGATCAATTGAAATTTCAGGAATTACTGTCCTCATTCTCTGCCAGCATCACTGATGCAAAGAAAGCTTTCTACACTGACAAAATTCTCAGCTCAACTGACTCTCAGAAACTATTTTCAACATTCAAAACTCTGCACAACCCTCCGTCTCCACCTCCTACCAACAATCTATCAGCTGACACCTTTGCCTCATTTTTCACTGACAAAGTGGCAGCTATAAGCAAACTGTTTACTCAACTGGCCACTCCTGAACATTCGCTACCACAAACTCCTTTTTTTGCTCATTTTAAATATATTTTTAAACATTTTCTAAAAGCTTTTTTATATTTTAACATTTTTTTTGTTT